AAAAAAAAAAACCAGAAAGTGGAACTTAAAGTGGAAAAAGCGGGCAACAATCTGAATAGATCAAGAACTCTCTAGACTCAAAGATAGACATGCAAAAATGAAAAAGAGTTGTGCTAGAGCCGGGATTCGCACCCGGGTCTCCGCCTGAATCTCCTTGCCTCACCCTTTTTTTCGGGATCAGTTTGGGAGGGCGACGAGTTAAACTACTACTCCACTCTAACTTTTTTTTCTTCTTCTTCTTCTTCCTTCTATGTTGTTGTTATGAGGTGTCAGATACCCGGTTGCTTATAAACCGGCGTTGCTTGGTACAAGTGACGGACGGGTAGGTGCCGCGTTTGCCTGGGTTGGTGGTGGTGGTGAAATGCTTGTTCCGGCTGGCGGCCGGTGATGATGCCAGCTGGTAAGGTTTCAGAGACTTTCGTCTGGTCATTCAAGGCATTGGGTCTTGTATCTTCTAAGATCGTTTGCTCTGTGCCCAGATTGCTGGTAGTGTTGAGTTCTGGTAGATACTGAAAGTTAGAGGTTACAGAATTCTGATCGTCAGACAAACATCCAGCTCTCCATTACTTTAGCAAGGAAACCGATAACCATCGAAGCCGCGAGAGGATTGTCTTCTCAATCGAAACCATGAACGAAACGCAATTTCTTTCGCTCTCTATCTACCATCTTCGCTTATCAACAAAGGGTATCATCAATATTATGTACTTGAACCTATATCTTCACAGTCGTCCACTCTTCCAGTTCAGCCCACCAACCCAAAGCCGCAGCCCTCCTCATTTGGTATCGACTACCTTTTCTCATAACCATCCATCCCATCCCGCTCATAAGACCCCATCCTAACCTCCTCCATTACCGTGAAATTTTCCCTTTTCCCATTACCTTTGTTCCTAGTGCTCGGTATGACCCGTCCCCCAGCGTCACGTTCCCCAAGTCCTTAAGCTCACGCTGCTCCAATCCTTTACCCGGAACGCTCAATTTCTCATCGATAAAAACCTTCCAAACTCTCAACCTCACGACCATCCGAGCCGCCTAGGCCATCAACCTTTCCGTCGTTGTAACCTTGTCCCATCCATGTGGTCCAGGCGCTTCGAACACACCCCTCTTACTGAGGGTCAGCCCCAGGCCCTTGTGCACCTCCACTTGGAAGGGAGCGAACGGTCGCGCTTCGCCATCGATGCTGATCACTCCATTCGGGTCCTGGTATCGGGGTGTCAAGCGGAAAGCGGAGACCTTGCGATAGGAAACCAAGGGGTTGTCGAAAAAGTGGCCTGATTCGACCGAGAGTTGGAGGTTAATGTTCTTCCAGAGGGAGATGTCGCCGTCGGTCGTGATGAGGTCCAACAAACCATCGTTGGCGAGGGCGGCGGAGAAGAAGTTGGTGTCTGGGGCCATGTAGGCCATCTGTCGAGGTTGTTAACGTGACTGGAAGAGCAAAGGGGGGCAAGGGAAAAACATACATTACCGCAGTAAAAGCTCCCCAACTTTTCATGCGGAACCACCTCCCAATCCTCCGGTAACTTATCATTCACCGTTCCATACTTCAACCCCGGCATTCCCTCTCCCTCTCCCTCTCCTTCTCCTTCCCCGTCGTTACTACCACCCTCCTCGCCATCCCCGCTAGCCTCCCCATTCCCAACCTCACTTTCCGCCCCCTTCACTCCCCTCGCATAATGCCCCCTAATCTCCTCCTTCCCGCCCACTTCCACCTTCATCGCCACATCACACGGATACGTCTTCTTCCTGATGGCCAGCGTCAAGAACCCGTACGTAAACCTTGCCGCACCCATCCACCTCAGATGCTCGGTAGTGATATCCAAATCGGCAATCAAGCCGTACGCCTGGCTCAGAAAGCTCGTCAGACGCTCTCCATCTTGCAGCGTGACGCTGCACAGGTCCAGCTTCGTCGGCACGCCCTTGACGATAGCTAGCGCCGCCAGCGAAGGGCGGTGGGTACCGTAGAGGTTACAGCTCATGGCGTTGCCCGAGCCGCAGGGTATGTGGCACACTGCCAGCTTTGAAAGCGCCTTGCGGGCATCGGGCCGCTTGGAGAGCCCATTGAAGACTTCGTGCGGCAAACCGTCGCCGGAGCAGGGGATTGCAATGTCGTACTCTGAAATATCCAGGTCCTGCGCGAGGGTGACGGCTTCGCCGGAGTAGGTGGTGCGCACGACGGTCAATGGCATGCGCGCCGCTTCGAAGATGGGGCGGACCTTCTTTTCAAAAATCTTGTCGGCGCCGCCGGGGCCGGCATGCGGGTTGACAAGCACCCAGGCGCGCTTGCGGCGCTGGATGGGGGCAGGGTAGGCGAGGTCGAGGACGCGGGCGACAAAGGCGTCTAAGGTGGCGGCGGAGACTGGAGGGATGGAGGGTGGTGAGAGAAGTGGCTCGCGCTCTCGGGGACCTTGGAGAGAGGCTGAGGGGAGGGGGAACTCGAGTTGGCGGACGATGAGCTGATGTTTCTTGGGAGAGGTCTCTTCGGCGAAGTCGATGCGGAGGTAGTTGCGGTCGGGGGTGATGTAGGCCCAGAGGATGTTGTAGAATGGTACGGACCCGGGAGCGAGACGGCGCGAAGGGGTGACTGTGGAGGAGGGAGGGAAACGATGTTAGTATACTGTCGAGAGAAATGTGGTTTAAAAATCCGATTGAGGTTGAAGCTTGAGCTTTTCCTTCCACATCGGGCCTTCTGTGTGACTGTAAGGAGGATTTGTGTGTAAGAGGAACTCGATGCTTTTTATATACCTGAGCAGCACGAACGTGACTTCTTGGTGGCAGCGGCATGTTCTGTGCATGCTTTGCGGTTAGTCTAAGGACGAACGTAGGTCTTATGAGGAAGAAGAGATGTCCAGTCCAAAGAAAATGTGCTTGTAGGAGGGATGAGATGTGACATGTATATGGAGGTTTCACATACCTTGAATCACCAAGTGATCCTTCTCGCAAGTGAGTGTGACCGTGGGCAGTTCGAGAATAGCGACATTCTTTCCGGAAGCAGAAGTAGTGGCTTGCAATGTCACGGCCTGATTGGACGGCTCTTGTGCGCTCGCCTTCGCAATGGCTGCCGCGTGTTCATCCTGTAGTTGTCGAACGTCCCCCATATTTTCCCGTGTGTTTCGATTCTCTTTCGACTTTCTTTGGTGTCTGTAGTTTCGTTTGTATCACGGTGTCGGTCAAGGCAAGAACCTCAATGGATCCCGGTGCCGAGCTATGCGGGGAGGAGTGTACAAGTGGAATGAATGGATGGATGCGGGTGGCTTTCAAGCTTAACGGCACGCGCGAATACCCGCAACGGAGCTGATGATGATGATGATGATGATGGGCCACAAAGAAGACAACCCGACAAATTAAAAACCTGCAGACAAAGAACACTGAAGATGCTGAAAAGTCAGAAGCAAACAGACAGTTCAAGAGAGAGATGGGATGAAACGAAGCTCGGCTCAAGTTGTTGCTGACTCGGGTCGCACTCTCGGACTCTAAGAAAGCACCGTACCGTTGACAGTCTCGCCAAAATCGGTGCTTGGCATTGTTGTCTTGGATCATGGATGGCACTTGTTGAGACAGGGGCAACGTCGGCCCTCACTGGCTGACCACAAATCCCTGCTGAAGCCGTCGTCGTTGTCTCCTCAACCGTTCTGTTGTTTGGTATGGTTGCAGTTTCTGTTCAGGGGTCAACTGCGGACCCCGTCATAGCTCCCGTCCCATTGCTGCTGCTGGCTGCTGATGCTGCACCTAAAAATCGTGCATCCATCAACTGCAGCACAGGAAGCATGTGCCCGCTTCCACTTCCACCGAGGCGCACGCACTAACTGCCGGTGCATGCCTGGCGGGGTGGCACATCCGGTGCCGGATACGCCGGAAATATAGGCGATTTAACCGTGCCAAGGTACCAGAGCTGCCTCTACTCAGCTGGACTTCGTTGGCCACAAGTGCCCAGCATCAGACGACAACCTCCAACACATTAGAAACCTTTGTACCTTTACGTAACCCATCACGGCTGGGTATTCAGAGAGAGCACCGCTAAACAGATGATGCGGTTTCAGTTGTGTATGTATCTGCACAAAGAAAAAGTTGATGAAAACTCCGGCGTCCAAAAGAGTCCATGCTCCCTCGCCTCGCCCCGTCTACATACCTTCCTGTAGGCAACGAAGTATGCAAATCAACCTAACTTTTGGAATACCTTTCTTTGCCCCGGCCGGATAACCCTCCTGCTAGTAAAAATATCATCCTTGTTTTGTCAAACAGTCAACTCAAGCAGTCCCCGCTAGCTCATCAGCCACTCACACCCATCTACCTTGGTCCATCTCCCAGCACATATGAAGTGGTGAATAGAGATACCTTAGAACCTCTGATGACCTAGTCCTACTCCCCAAGCTTCGACTCTGCGGTTCGTTGGCTTCTAGGCTGGCGGACGCTGGACTTCAAATCGCAAGGCGCGGTAGCGCTCGCTCAAGAATTGCGACGGCACTGAAAAGGGTTCAGCCGATGGAACTTGCAACGCGTTCAAGTCCGACTCTGACAACATGCCCAAAACAGCTCGATTCGGATCCTTCTAGGAACTGAACTTGGCCTTGAGCACTTCTTTGACCTTGGCCGACTGAGCATCGTCAAGAGACTCGACCGCCTTCTGGAGCTCAGCGAACTGCTCCTTGACACGGGGGTGCTCGGGGTCGAGCGCCTGAGCCGCGTTCAGGCAGCGCAACGCAAGAAGATACTTCTCTGTGGATTTATTAGTGGGAAATCAAGTACAGGGGCTGCATCAAAACTTACTCCTGCGGATGTAAACATCGAAACCGGCAATTTGGCCCTCAATGTTCTTGGGGCTAAACTGCAAGATGTTGGTGAGGAACTTCATGGCATCACCCAAAGGATCCGCCGTGGCAGCGAGCTTGAGGCCGTTCGGGTCGTCGTCTTTCTTCTTAGGTTCCTCGTCCTTCTTGGCCGTCGCCTTGTTGGGATCCTGTTTAGCAGCCTTCTCAGCGGCCTCGCGCTCGGCCTTCTGGGCTTCCTTGCGGGCCTTCTTGGCGGCCTTCTTCTTCTCAGCGGCATCCTCTCCGTTGGTGGCCTCGCCAGTGCCGTTGGTGCCGTTGGCAGAAGCCTGCTGCTTCTCAAACATATCAAGGTACAGCTTGACGGCGTCAAGAGCAGCACGGAAGTAAAAGGGGTGCTCGCGGATGCTGTCCTCCCAGCGGATCATGTCGACATAGGCACGGATCTGACCCTTACGGAGGGAGAAGCTGTGGAAATCGAATTGGTCCTCCTGCCAGATATCGAAAATGTTGTGGATGGTGGTGAAACGCTTGAGAGCCAAGCCGGTGTTGCCACGCCGTTGCCAGGCCTCACCATCTTCAGTCAAGAACCACATGCACTGCATGTCGGTCAAGTCAGCGAGGGGTCCGCCGACAGTTTCAGCCCTCGTGAAAAGACCCATGGTCTCGAGAGCCTTCTCGTTCTCGTTGTTCCGTAGTTGGTACTTGGCGGCCTTGGAGTTGATGTAACGATCCTTGGTGTCGAGCGAACGGGCACGGTCCATGGTTTCCGAGGCCTTGGCGGTATCGCCCTGGTGCTTGAATATCCTGGCCTTGGTCATGTGGAAGTCAACGTTCTTGGGATCGAGCTCGATAGCCTGCTCAACATACTCCATGGCCTTGGCAAGGTCGCGGCTGAGGTGGTAGTTGTAATGTTGCGCCAGGAAGTAAAGAGCAGCACCGACACCCTTGGAGCTGTCGCCGTTCGCTTGCTCAGACCCCTTATGCTCCTTCAGATACTCCTCGGCAAGGGCGAGGATGGCCTCCTTCTTGGCAACCTCAGAGCAGAGGTGCTTGAGGTTGGCAAACACCGAAGGCACACCCCTGTCCAACATGTTGGTGAGATAGCTCTTGGCAGCAGCCTTGAAGCTATCGCCGGTGAGGAAGTTGAGAGGCAACCTCTTGGCAGCATCCGAGCGAGGGTACTTGGCAGCATACTCGTCATAGATGGCCTTAAGGGCAGCCTCGTCCTTCTCGTCAATCTCCAAAGCCTCGATCAGACCCTTGTAGTACTCGGGGTGCTCGGGGTTCCTGTCCAGCAGTGCCCGCCACGCCTTTGCCGCCTCCTCTTTCCTGTTGAGCTGACCCAAGTAGCGCGCCCGCATTTCCATAACAGCCAACCTGTCCAGGCAGTTCTTGCAGTCGGACTCGAGGTGCTCGAGCGCACGCTTGATATCGCCTCGCTCGGCAATAATGGTGTTCTTGTAAAGGAGAGCCTCGGAGTGCTCCTGGTCGGTCTTGAGGGGAACGTTGGTCATGGACTTCTCGTAGGTGGTAAGGATGTTCTCGGCCTGTTCGAGGCTGCCTTCGAGCTGATAGGCAATCGCAAGGGCGGTCCAGTTCTGGCGGAGATGGGGCTTGGCCTTGAGCATGGCGAACCTGCTCTGGACGTAGCCCTGGTAGTCGCGGATCTGGACCTGGAGGACGGCGAGGTCACGCTGGATCTGTTGGGACTCGGGCTCGAGCTTGAGGGCAAACTTGTAGGCCTTGATGGCCTCGTCGAAGTTCTTGTGCTGGCGGTAGAGGATGCCGTAGACGTGCCAGCAGATGTGGGACTTCATGTCGACGGTGAGAGCCTCCTTGGCGAGGGCAAAGGCCTCCTCCGTCTTGCCCTGGGAGTTCATGATCAGAGCCTTCATGGACATGGTGTCGCCGTGCCTGGGGTTTTTCTTGAGGATCTGCTCGGCGGCCTTCAAGCCGCGCTTGTACTGCTTGTCCTCATAGTGGCGGATGACGGTACGAAAGAGGTTGGCCTCTCTCGTGCTCAGGGTTTGCGGCATCGAGGAATGGACTGCGGGGTGGGACGATGAGGAAAGGGTTGTGTTTCGATGTCAAAGATGGCCGCGGGGTTGGGTTGCGGCGGAGGGACGGTTGTCGCGGAGCGGGTTGTTGTAGTTGTTGTTGTTGTTGTTGTTGTTGTTAAGCTCGGGAGGATGAAGACTCTCTCGACTCGAGTCGGAGACTGCCACTATGTCAGGTCAGGGATCAGTTCGTGGGGGAGGGGGACGAGGGGCCGGCCGAGAGTGGGCTGGTTTTGGTGGAAGTGGATGTCGTTGTTTCGGTGTCGGGGATGAGCGGAGCCTGGTGGGACAACTCTTGCTACCACAGCCAACAACATTGGGACACAGCGAGAGGGTTTGCACCACACAAGTACCTGAACCACCTAAACTTGGGGAATGTGTATCCTTACAGTCTACAGCCAAAATGGAAGAAAAAAAAAATACCCGCGACGGCCTTATGTGCTTGACAGACGTGCCCCGTGACTATTCCAGTTCTTGTCGACGAAACTGCAAAGTGAAATTCTACAGCTGACAATTTGGTGAGATGGGCGCATTGAACAAAAAGTTGCTCTCTGCCGATTGGCCAACAGCCGGCGAAGCTCTCCCACTCACCTCCCTATAAGTGGGGTCAATCTTTAGCTAGACTCCGGCTCGGCCCTCTCGGTAACAACACCGAAGACACGGAAGCCTCCCGCCAGATCCCGCGACAACTCCTCCCGAGACAATGAAAGATTTCCATATTCCTCCCGGCGATAGACGAAAGCTTAATTTGGTGTAGATATCATCGCTTCTTTCTTCAGATATATTGACAGAAGATCCCACTGCCCTACAATTACAACTATTCATATGGTCACACATTCAAATACGCCATACCCAATGCTTATCAGACACTTTTCCACTTACACCACTTCCTTCCCTTACCTTCTTCTCTTCATAAGCGACCACATCACCCAGCGTCATCAGCACAAAAGAAATCATCATCACGCCAACGGCAAATGCTTATCCTTCCTCCACTCTCCCAAAGCCTGCTCCCACGTCTTCCCATCACTCCCACACCTCTCCCCCACAATCCCCCACGTCCTCGTCCTCACAATATTCTCCACGCCCTGCTCCATCCTGATCACGCTCGCCAGCTGTTCCGTCCTCGGCTCTCGCGGGAAAAACCTCGCCGAGTAGGGGTCCAGCCGTTCATTCACCACCCTCTCCCGATCCTTCTGCTTCTCGGCCTCCCGGATCGCCGCCTCCGGGTCGTCCGGGTCCGGCGAGGTGGCCACCAGCGCGCAGTAACTCAGCACCTGCGACCGCGCTTGCCACGAGGGGAACAACACTTGGTCTTTGAATTCCTGGGAGGCGGCAGGGTCGATTTGCCGGGATAAGGGCTGGGGGCTGCGCTGGGTGGTGGAGGACGGGTCGAAGCCAGCGCGGGAGGGAGTGACGAGGGCGTTGAGGTTTTGGGTTATGGTGTCGTCGATGGCGGAGCGGGACACTCGTAGGAAGTCTATGGGGTTTGGGTCAGTAAATTGTGAAAGATTATTAAATATTTGTGTCTATAAGGTAAAGAAATCCCACCTCGTAGGGCTGCTGTCGAAAAGCAAAACTGAGGAGTGAGCGCTGGTGCGGACGGCGCGCTTGTTGGCTGGACCATGGTGTTCTTGGGCTTGGGCTTTTCGGCTGGAGGCGCTGCAGTTTGGCCAGCCGTTGCAGCAGCTTCCCCCTTCTGCGTTGTCCAAAGAAGGTTCGCCACTTTGTCGCTTTTTGTCTGATTGTGGTTACTGAAGGTATCACGAAAGCTTAGCCCTTCAAAGTTGAAACGCGCTGATAATCGTTGATATGGTAATAAGGTATCGTACGTTTAACGATCTGTCAAAAGTCTCAGGGCAATGACGATGGAAGTAACTGGTGACGATCATGGAAGCGGCGGGTGGGGGGAGCTACTGTGGAGTAAGCTGGGGTACTTAGCTTTCATTGAAGCCGGTGCCAAGCAAGCTGCCAGCTGCCAAGGGAGAGAGACATCTTGTTATGTGCACACCATCCTGTCACTATAGCGATATCAGGCTCGTCCGGCAGACTGGAAGAGAACTTCCGGCGTCGTCCATCAACCACATCGTATTTCTCCACGACTGAAGAGTCTCGAATCTCCCGAGAGACTACCCAACCCGTTGTCTTATGCGCGCGCGCGAATAGGATTGGTGGTTAACCACTATAAATCTCCCATTCTATCTACTTGTTATCATTCAATCAAAATCGATCGTCATCCCCAAACTTCAAGTCATCAAGTAGCTACCTCCTACCTATCTACACTACTACCACGCACCCTCATCGGAATCCCAAAAGATGCCAGATTCTGCATGTAAACCCCAAAGCCCAAAAAAAAGAAAAGAGGGCGACAAAAAAATTCCGATTCTACTCCGAGACGCGAAACCGACGCCGCTCGCCGTTTTAAAACGAACACCGACCATTTGGATCTCCTGTCTTGCCACCTGCGTCTTGGTTTCTTCCGATCTCTCCCCACATTTTCGTCATTTGTCTCTCCCACATCCTCCCTGGGAATCTCAGGTTCCCTCTTGTTCAAGCCTCTTATCCAGTCATCTAGCCATTCGCCCCCTTCAGAAAGGAGAGGGAAAACAAAAAGGAAAAGAAGGAAGAAAATACCCTTCTCCTTATCCACGAACGCCTCTTCTGAACTGAACCCCTTCTTTTCTTCACAATGGACGGACATGATGAGATTGGAAATTACTTGCAGAAACTATCAGGCCATGTATAACACTTTTCAACAAAACTAGTACGCTGTACTAGTATATAAGCCAAGTCTCAGCCAGCCATCTTTTTTTTGTGTCTGGGTGTCATTTAGCAAGCGCCTCACCAACGCCTCGATTGGTCTCTATTGGGAAAATCCTCCTCAAGAGATTGCTTGCCCGGCCGGAACAAGCCCAAGTCATTTACAGCGCACCACGTTTTCCTCGGTGGTCTCTTCCTCATTGCTATTAGTCTAGCAAAAGGGAAAGAGGCGCCGCCCACCAATTTCCCTTAGTTTCTTTGGTTCGAGGGACGAATCGCAGTGTTCTTGTCGGTGCTTGCTTTGCTGTTGAAGACAAGTTGAACTGGTACCTCGACACTAGTGCTGAGTGCCGAACATTTGGTAGGATTGGTACCTGACTAGTCGTGTACACGAGGTTAACCATGTCTTACCTTTCTTCTTGTGATCCCTCTAGCGTGGTTGATCGCTTGGTTTGATCTTCTTCCTTGGTCAGACTCCTTGTTCTGGTTGCTCGGCGAAGGCGCATGTGGATTGTTTATAAGCTACACAATTGTACGACGCGTCGTCGATCTGCATATGTCCTTCCCCTTTTCGCTGTCCCAGCTTCACTTATTAAAAGTTATTTACCCTTCGTACGTATGTTTGTTCAATTCATATAAGTTCAACGTCTATGTCTGGAGTCAACAACAAAAGCCATGTTTCATCACGTCAGACCTTCAAGGATTCAGCTAGACGATGGCCTCAGTCTCGATAGCGGTCTAGGCATGGCGTCTCAGCCATCCTCGCCCATAACCCCAAAGCATCTCGCGTCTTTCGAGTATATAACAAGGCGCCTGTCGCCGTAAGTCAGAAAGTTGCGCTTTGGTTCTCAAGGTTTTTACTAAACAAGTGGTTAGCACCAATCCATTCAGCGATGATGCCGCCACCGGTCTAGGCGACCTCTTTCCTGGCGAGGGGAGCGAACCATCACCAGTGCCAGAACCCAGCACCCCATCGAGGGAACTCACTCACCCACCCACACCAAAAACTGAACCTCAGCCACACACCACTCCCCTCCTCACAGCAGACCCCCGGGTAACAAGGACATTATCACTCAAACTTGGTCCCATACCAAAGAAGAACCGCCAAAGCACCACCCAACTCGCCGAGCAGCTTCACCACGCCATTGATAAGAACGATACCGGCACAATCCTGGAGCTCATCAAAGAGGGCCGCATAGACCCCAACATCCAAAGACCAGGATCAAGCCTACCCCCCCTTCATGAGGCCCTCGCCGCTCGTTCCGTCGATGCCACCAACTTCCTCGCCCTCTCAGGCGCAGACTTGGAAGCAACTAACAGGACGAAGGAGACAGCCATCATTACTGCCACCAAGAACGGGTTCCCCAGTGCCTCCATCACCTTACTCTGCGAACTTGGCGCCAAGCTAGACGCCGTTGACATATTCGGCCGATCAGCGCTTCACTACGCAGCAAGCAGCCACGGCTCAGCTTCATCTCCCCCTTCCTCTTCGTCTGGGAAGTCCATCGAGCATGCCAAGGTGGAAACGGTCAAGATCCTGTGCTCCCACGGCGCCAACCCAAACCTGCCGGACGAAACAGGCCACATGCCTCTCCACCAAGCGGTCCACAGCGTGCACCTAGCCGCAGCCAGACAACTCCTTGACTGCGGTGCCGACATCAACGCCGCAACCAAGAGCGGACGGACTCCTCTTTACTTGGCCATCGCTAAGCGCAGCACCGACATTGTCTCCGTTCTCTGCGAGCGCGGTGCTGTTATCAACCGCCGCGTTGGTGATTCCACACCCTTGCTGGCCGCCATCACGGCGGGTTGTACCGATATTGCTCGGGTGTTGATCCAGGCGGGCGCTGCTGACCCCAACTTGTCTGGAGGGAAGGGAAACTTTCCCTTGCTCATGGCATCGGCATTGGGGAATGAAGAGCTAGTTGAACTGCTATTGGCACGTGGTGCTGATGTGCATGTGGCGAGCAGCTCGACCGGGATGACACCGTTGCACGTGGCATGCCAGGGCGGGCACGAGGGGATCGTGGGCATGTTGATCAGAGCTGGAATGCCAGTGGACGGTGTAAATAAAGACGGACTGACGCCGCTCGCGCTGGCCGTTGAGGGTGTTCATGATGAGATTGTGAAGATGCTGTTGATGCATGGCCGTGCGGATGCGAATCATGCGTATGAAGGGCAGTCTCTGCTCTGGAGGGCTTTGAAGCGACTGACTGCTGCTACCACTCGCGCCTTCAGGACTACAAGCAGCCCGGGGACGCCGACAACGGTAGCCCATGCCAAGTACGTGACGGTGACTGCGATGGAGAGGATCATTCATCTCCTGATATCGTCCGGTGCCGATGTCACTGCTCCACAGGATGAGCTTGGGATCAGTCCGCTGCATCAGGCTTGCCGACTAGGGCTGGACTCTATCGTTGAGATGATGCTCTCAACGCCACGAGATGCCTACGTATCCGCTCCGTTTTACAGCGAGAAGCATGGCAATGGTGGTATTATCGAAACACAGCTATGGTCAGGCCACACTCCCCTCTTCTTCGCCGTTGAAGGTGGTCACTTGACCACAACCAAGCTCCTAATCGAGAAACACCATGCGGATATCAACACCCGAACAGCGGTTAACGCAACCCTGCTATGGGCGGCTGTCGGTCACCCACATATATTACGCTACCTCTTAACCCTGAAGCCTTTGCAAGGACAAGGGGTTGAGAGAACGGGAAGTGTCCGCAAGCGGCTAAGGCTGGTGAACTTTGGGCGCATCAACGAAGAGGGGATATTGGGAGGAGAAGGATTTGACTTGAACCATAGAGATCATGGAGGAGCAACGGTTCTTCATGCTGCAGCCGCCGCGGCTCAGCTAGAAGATGTGAGGATACTGCTGAGGAAAGGAGCAAAACAGTTTGCTGCTCATGAGGTTTATGATGATTTGGCAGGGAGGAAAGGAGGTACATACCGACAAGGAACACCGGCTGGAATTGCCAGACAAAAAGGACATGATAAGATTGCGGAGATGATAGAAGGCTGGCGGTAACAAAGGGTTTCTCGGTGACTTGGGGCCGCGGTCAGTAAGCGCATGTGATTCAGCGCATAGTCAAAGCATCAGTTTGGATATGGTAATCCCTGCTTCCCTCTAACAGATCATCGGTAGTCACTACCGGTAAAGCTTTGAGCCCTACGGTGTAGATGCCCCTTCGATGTGGTGGTCTTCGTTCAGCTTGCTCACGCGTTTTTCGCAAAGGTGATAGAGACGAAAAGTGATATGCCGCTCGTTGGTATTATGTCTGTGGATATGTGAAGCGGGAGCTTCGGGGAATATTGGCCAATAAAGGACACAGAGTGAACAACATTCTCTCATCACGGGAACATGTCGCATCCTTCCCAAACCTGATGGACACAAACGCAACTCCGTACATCGTCAAGCACTCGCCTAACAAGGGACAACGGGTGTTCCCGTCGACACTCGTCTTATCCATAGTGCTGGCTTCTGGATGCTCCAGGTGGAAGGAATACAAATGGCAGCCCGGGCCGTGATGCATAGCCAAAGCAAATAGGAGCACACAAGGAACCATCTGTGCCGCTTTGGTGAGCACCGGTATAAGAGAGAAATATTGGCCAGCGCCACGGTACCGGTAAATAGTTGAAGAAGGTGAAATAGATATTGGATGTGTCTTTGTTAACAGGGCAATCCTTGGCCGCCGCGACCACACCCCCAAGCCATCGGTTAAGCACTGCCGGGAGAAGCAGACATGTCGTCGGTAACATTTGAGCAGGAACAAGCGAAAACCATGAGCTCAAATATGGCTGTATATAGCGAAGGGGGGCTACACGGACGGGATGAGTAGCCGCTAGGCGCCAGGTAACCGCGGTATGCTCGTCGGCTTCAGACGGGCCGCACAGCCGAACCGACCACACGAAGTATAAAGCATATGTACTTTCCGTGCCCGGCTGACTCCCGCCTTTACCGGCCCTACGGTAGATTGACCCACAGAACACCCAGCTAGCATCTCGATAACATACGCTCCAAACTGCCTCGTAGAGCTCAGCTTCGCGGATCCATGGATGACGGATGGAAAAGCCAGGCCACAGAAATGGGGCTTTGTGTGTTGAGATCAATTCTTCGATCAGATCATGTTCTCCGCATCCAATATTCTGGGGGCCGCATATGCAAAAGCACAGAAAACGGAACAGGTCAGCACACACACCTTGATGGGTACTAACCAGCCAAGGGCATCAAGAGAGGTACACGAGAAGCATCGAAAAGGCTATATGCCACATTGAGTTCAGCCAGAACCCAGCAATTTGACCAAAGACAATGTGCGTGGCCTCTTTGATCACAGGAAGTAAGCAATACAAACCGGGGGGGGGGGGGAGATAAGGGGAGATGATACCTGTGTCCAGGGTACAGCCTTGCTCAGTATATCTTGACAGAAGCGTAGAAAATACAAAGCAGCCGTCCGCCGAAAATATGTGACGGACCGGTTGGGATGTTGAAATGTAACCACTTGGGACAGCTTTCTCTGTCTTGAGGATGGGGGACGAGAAGACAAAGGACAAATAGCTGGTACCGTCATAATCGTGTCCAGATGAAAGAAAGAGGTGTGAAGGCATGGAAAACCATTGGCGGTCCGAGATGCAACCACCATCATCGTCTCCATAATCGATCTCTAGGCGAGAGGCACGTCCTGAAGATAGCCAGATACGGGACAATTTTGCTCGACGTGGGGCGTAGCCGCTGGCGTTTCTAAAAATCAACATCTTAACGTTGACAGTCATTGCTACCGTAGCTCTCGTCATCGTGAAGGGGTTCAAGACGGAGACTCGAGCAAGCATGAGGACAGAGACTGCAGAACTCCCCGTTCCGTGTGGTCCGACCTGCGCATGCGGGTTTGGACTTTGGGCCAGTGGGAATCGGCGGCGGTTGGAGCAGATTGCCCGTAAAATTTGGTGTTGCAATCTGTTTACGAGAGAGAAAGCATGTGAGTTCAGTTCCCCGCGGCGGATCCGGAACCTGGAACTCTGTATGCAGCTGCGTTTTGCGTGTCTATTTACCAGGTTAGTTTCCATCAAGCCGAAATAAGAAAGAGGGCCGCAAGATAACTGCGAGACGATGAAGGGATCATGGTGAAGAAGCCCTGACCTTGAATATTGCACCGCAATACAGTCTCTCTGCATCCTTGATCACGAGCCCCAAGCGAGACAGATACCTTGCTTGGGATGGAGTAAGGAAGTACATGCGTAGGCAGTAATAGTCCCGATCTCCGCTTGCAGTGCACCTGCACCTGTCAGAAACTGACCGAGGCTGGTTCTGCCGGACGGACACAGTAACAACCGACGACAGACGCCCCTGGACAGACGGGACGGAAGCGAAGCTGCACGACGTGGTGCCTCATCTGGGACAAAGGGAACATGGATCCAACAAGGACTGCATGACGGATACCGTCGGCGTACAGAGAAGAGGTAAGTAAGTATACGATGCTTTGCCGCGTTGCACGGCGCTTAGACGCACGACCGCACACACCACATACCTAGCTGAGAGAAGGGTTTGTGCTCGACAAAGTGATCGTCGTCGTTTGAGGGCAGCAGGGAACTGCAATTGTTGCTCCGATGAGCCGTTGAAGAGAAGGAGATCGGGGAGGGGTCAAGGGAGGAAGAACTCGGAGTGGAAATGGAAGCTGTGTGGAACTTGAGTGGAAGGTTGTGATTTGAACGAACCAACCTTAGTCCGAGTGGGTTGTGTGCCCCCCTGCCTTTGGTGCCCTAGAATTAGGTACCCTCGATGGCTCCTTCCTTACCCATCGTACACCAAGGTCAAGATCAGAACAGCACCTGCCTCTTGAGTCTTTGAGCGGTCTCTTGGCCGCTGTATCAATGATGTTTTAAGATCGAGTGATCAAGATCACATCACTGTGTAGTACGTAGTAGCAACAGCCAGTCCGTTTCCTGTCAACTCCAACTGAGAAAAGCACTCACTCAGCACAGACAGACGACCACACAATCATCTCGGCCCCAGCAGCCCCGGCCTGTCAAGCTGCGAGTGACGGGACTGACCGTTGCCCTGGAATTACTAGGTAGGGCGGTCGACAAGAGCGAATCTTCATGGTGAACATCCGGGCTAGTTTCTCCATCAAATCTTGCAGAGACAGTCTTTATCTGGCAATGATTTGACGATATTAATCCCGGGGACTCGCTATACGGACGATCATGGGGGGGATCATAAGGGCACTTGGACAGAAGGGGGGTCGCTTTGGGGGAGGAGGACGATGGGGGAGCTCGAGGAGCACGGTACATAGCACAGGCGAGCGAAGATTCGACAGAGGTTCCTGGCGAGTTCTGGCGAGGTTCCTGGCTGGGCGCTCGCTAATCGGAAAGCCTCAGATTGATGACGGTCTCGCTCGAGTGGATCTGAGACTGCGAGCACCACCCTCACACACAGACCGGCGTCCTTCCAACCCGTCCAAAGCGTACTGGGTCGATCCGTAGGTAGTGTAGATGACAGCCAAGTGGCTTTCTCAAAGGGGGGGGGGGGGGGGGACGGTTGGAACAGTGCCGCGGCCTTCTACCCATTGATCCGGGAGTGCAGTGTCTGAAATTGATAAGTGCCATAAATACTCATGAAATTACTCTTCTCCTATTTCCCTTCATTGGTGTCAATTGACATGTGGATTTGCGCGCGACTGCGCCTCCTTTGAACGGCGGGACGAGCTTCCCTTGCCCGCGTACGTCTTTTGGATTTGGCTACTCAGACCATGCTGACTAACTAGGTCTAACTCATTTTGTCACCTCACTTTCAACTCCGTCGCTCAGATGGGGCAGGCATACAGTACCGTGCGTGCATCGTACCTGACACACTTCACCGTTCCTGAGCCCCCCCTGGCACGAGTCCCTGTGAGTGCTCTAAAGAGCCGTCTGCGGCCGTCTGGGCATTTGATTTTGGCGGACAAGGAGAAAGACCCCACTGACCCACCAGTCCACTCGGCTTAAATTCCCACTCGCTTGTGCCCGTGGTCGGCTCCAAAAGACGCAAAGCACCTGACAGAAAGGTACATGACAGTTCGTTTGTGCCAGGAAGGAAGGAAGGAGACGGGAGACGGGAGACGGAAGCAAGATCGATAGAAGTTAAGAAGCAAAACATTGAATTTTTACTTGTTGCTGATGATGCCCATCGCTAGCCTACACTGGTTAGAGTAATGACTTGCCGCGTCTCTTTTACTCGACTAGTCGACTTGCATGCATTTGCGTGGACATTGGAGATTGCACATTGGACTGGCTCCCATCTTCTCTCCGCATCGCAAGTCCCGCCCCGTTCAACTCGCGTCTCTCTCCCGCCTCGACGACGAGGATCATGGAAGACTGGAAGATCCACATTGTTCTCTCCAAAGGCTCCTCGACCCTGGACAGGGGCTACATACTGTCGTACGGCGTCCACCCTCCTTCTTCCTCCGCCAAAACGACGAGGTCTAAAAAAGGCGGAATCAACAGCCCGTATGCTCTAGGATAGTACCCCCCTTGACAGCCCGCTTAATTGAATATCAAGAACAGCATCGCTGACGATGTCTTGAACGGGGCTATAAAAGATTGCGTTAAGTTTCCTTTTGCACATTTTGTCTCCATCCTTAGGTCCCCCCTCACAGTCCCATCTGATCCCATCCAAGTCCCATGTGCACCTAGTGTAAAATCCAAACTGGGGCCCGCCTACGGTCTGGATTCCTATTTCAGCGGAGCCAGGATGCAGCGCAAGGGACCAATCCAGTCACCATCACAGGCAGATTCACCCCTCTCTTCAAGAACCCACACCAAAATCCCACCACCCCCGTAAAGGTACGCCTCGTTTGGAGCATCTGCCACTGACATTGACCTCCCACCCCTGGACGACGAACCTAACACCACTTGAACTACACTCCAGAAACAAGGGGACCTACATATTGTCTTTCCACCACTTGTCTCTCACTCTCTTGGCTGGCAGACCGGCATATCATCGACTAGCCCCAGGGGTCAGGGGGAACAAGCCAAGCAATTCCCTCTCTTTCGGACACTGCAGTTCACACGAACTGAAGAGCAGAAAAACGTGAAGGAGAGAGACAGAGAGAGAAGAGGAAAGGGACAGAGTGAGGGAGGAAAGGAAAAAAGAAATTCAAAATACAAAACCTACACCTACACACAGTACGTACATAACATACTCATGCATTATCAGAGCTTTCTGTGTACCTTTTTGAGTCTGGAATATGCAGCTTCTGCTTGGATGCTTGGGCGCTGCAGCAGTCTGTCTGGCTGTCGTCGTATCGGCTGTATTCGCTGAGAAGCGCGCGCATTGCATGTTTCCACAGATTCGGCCCATTCCCAAGAGAACCTTGGATGACTCTAGGAAGAGCACCCCCATTTACCAACCCATTGACCTCTCATTGACCATTCACTTTCGACCGCAACAGGAGCCTTTTTTTCTGTCGGACGGCAAGGTACCATACCACCTTGCCATCTTACACCACCACCTCCTACCCGCTTACACCCTACACACACCACACCTCGTACCTACATAGCTACATACATTACATACCACAGTACGGCTACCTGGTAGTAAAAGGGCTCGTCAAGTAGGTGGACTACCAATCCGCAATCCGCTTAGGAAAGCCGGGCCAGGAGAGCCAGGGTCGCGTCTGCCCCTAGCCCTCCTGGCACTCCCTCCCACTCCGTCCCCCCCGGTCGCTTGTTCTCCTGGCCCTTGCTAGGAATCGGTCTCCATTAGAATTCTAATTAAATTCCCAGTATGGCTCAACGGAGGACTGTAGAGTCGATCCAGTCTCGACCGTCTATCCCCCAGCCTCAGCACTCCAGTCTGAGCGAGCCGCACCCCGACCACGAAGGGAAGCATCGACATCATCTACAACTAAAGCTCCGATCGCCTGCACCCCAACCTGATCAAGACAACCCTCAACCACTTCCAGGTCCCTCAACTTCAGCGTCACCAGCACCAGCACCGACACTACTAGTACCACAACCCTCCTCCGCCGGATCAGCACAGGCACAGACGTTGCCATCCACTCCAGGGACAGCCACAACAGCTATATCAACGGCAGCAACAACAACAACATCAACATCAACAACATCAACACCTACTCCGGATCTACAGCAACCAGGCGAAGAGGCGAGCTCGGCTACCACTTGTACGCCTCCGGTTGAGATAGTCGAAACAGGGGCTGGACAGAGCTCCGTCAGAAGTGGTGACCAAGGGATAGCTACGGATAGTGCTTCCACCATCACAACCACCACCGGTGCCACTGCCTGCACCACCAGCACTCACCAAGATCCCCGCGCGCCCTCAGAAATCGCTCCTCCTTTGGCCGATACAGTATCCGGATATAACCAGCAACAGATCGGAGCACCGCACAACGGCAGTGCACCTCGTGTCCTAGTGCCCACGCCCATGTCCCATCCGCAACAACCAACTGGCCCACCTACACCTCGCCAAACACCGACCATGAACTATCCCGCCCCGAGTCCATATCCGCCTGCGGGCATGTCCCCGGGTGCGCAGTACGCATATGGAGCGCAAGCGGTTGCCCATGTTGACCCCTACCGAACGAACCAGACGGCGCTCCCGAGCATGCGAACGTTTGACCATGTGCAGCAACAGCACGCTCAACACCAGATGCCCCTGCCGAACCACATGGCCGTCTCGATGGCCCCAAACCAGATGAGCTACTATGCGCCCATGCACGCAGCATACCAGATGCACCCGGGGCAGAGCGTGGTGCACTATGCCTTGACAGGCCTCACGCCGGACCCGCGCATCGCTCTGAGCGGAGGAAGGCACAAGAAGGTACCAATACATTGCACTGCTATATCCCTCACATGCGACCCTCCCCCTCTTCCACCTCCCCTCTCCCCTCCCTCCTCCTCTGTTTCCTGGGACCCATGCTCGCTCGCGCAACACACTAGAGTGCTGACCGATGTTGTTTGTTGTGTTGCTGACAGGAGATCAAGCGCCGAACCAAGACGGGGTGCCTAACGTGCCGCAAGCGCAGGATAAAGGTGCGTTACTTTCTCCTTCGGATCCATTTCCTAATTTGCCTCTTTTTTTTCGTATTCTATCCGGTTCCTCCCATCATGGATGCCTTTTCGGACCTACTGCAACGAAGCGGGGGATGGGGTAGGATGGGGATCGGGCCGGACGGTGTCGAGCCAGGGAAGCGACGCGCGGAGGGAGTGGGTCGTCATGTTGCAGTTGGGGCATTCGGTTGAAGAAGCGCCATGGTTCGATATGACGACAACGGGTGTGTTAAAAATGGCGCGCTCGTTCGTTCGCTCGCTTGCTCGCTTGTGGTCGGTCTCGATCGTTCGTTGGGGGTTGTTGCAAGTGCAGCTGGGGAAGCAGGGCAGTTTGGGTTGTGGTTGTATGCCTTGGTTACGTTGTGTTGCCTTGGCCCACGAACGGCTGGCTGGGTTGGTTTGCTCGCTTGACTGCACTGAACTGCTGAAGCGAGCAACCTAAGCCCAGTTGTTCACAGTGACGACTGCGGCCAACCCGCCAGTTGCCTGCCCGCCTGTTACTCACTGCCCGCTTCGGTTGCCCTCGCCTACCTCCGCTTCCCTTGCCTGCCATAGGCAGCAAGCGCAAGCGACGGGAAGCAACCGCAACTTTCCCATTTCGGTCGACGCCGACACAAAGTCCCCGCGGCGAGCGAGCGATCAACGCACCCGCCGGCGGTTGTTAGGCCCCGCCGCTAACAACTGGCCTGGGCTCCAGCATCTGCTATCCTATCCACCACGAAAGCACCTAAAACCTCAATCCCTGCAACACTCTGAGCTCCATCATCACATCGCTCTATCTTCCACTTTGCGTACCGCTTTACACACAAGTTGCAGAAACAATCATCTTCCCATTTTTTTTTTTTAACTCACCAGCAATTATGTACTCGACATCGCCTAACTTGTATTTCTCTCTAGTGCGACGAAGCCCATCCCACCTGCAACAATTGCAAAAAGTCGAAGCGTGATTGTTTGGGATACGACCCCATCTTCAAGCAGCAACAGCAGCAACAACAGCAACAGCAAAATCTTACTGCTCAGTCGACGCCCAAGTCTCAGCACTCTGCTCCCGCTTCTCTCACGTCGACTCCGACTGTCCCATCTTCCAGCGTCCCGCCAAGCCCATACCAGTCACAGGCTCAACCTTACCAGCAACAGCAGCAGCAGTCTCCGCCGCCTCATCACTATCACCAGCAACAGCATCCTGCTTACCAACACCAACCACATCCTACCTCGTACCCATCATCTCATTCCTCCAACACCCCCTACGAGTCTCCAGTGTCGTCCACTTCCCCGGGCTTCGATTACGGGAGTGCCATTGACCCGGCCCTCTCAGGCACCGACACGCCAAGCGCTTCAGGAACGCCTACACCAAATTCGCAGCTGGCTAGGCCTGACGACAGGAATTTTGGCACTGTGGGTCATTATCAAGGCGGAACTCCTGCTGGCTCCCCTTTGCCGGCGACCTCGTTTGCCCAACATAGATAACCGAAGTCTTGCGGTGTCGAGGGATCCAGCTCAGAGCTGTACGACTATCTTGCCCAACATGACTGGCTTACCCACCAACAAGAAAACCGTCGATGATCTTATCGCGCTGGGGGGCGCAGAACCTCCCATTATGAACTCTCCGCCATCACAGGCCGTCATCCAGGAGATCAACAAACTTTATGGCGATGTATACGTCACGGGGCTGTCGTATTTCTTTGAGACGCAGTGGTACGATTTGAAACCTGACAGGGGCATCCTGACACACCATCCCATCCAACTCTTACTGAATAATCAGCCATTGATGGGTCTTTTTGGTTCCTTTGTCGAACACATCTCGCAGCCCCGGGCGGACCACAAGTATGCTTCCCAGCTGGAGGAGTGTATTGTCTGGGGATTAGCAAAGCAGCCCCTCTCTACTAGAGGTAGAGGTTGGGCTCACCCTGGAATGTCAATTTCTCCATACCCGATCCCGCCCTTGGATGACCCACACGAAGCGTTTGGTCGTCTGCAAGTGTTCGAGGCGCTTCTGTTAGGTTATCACTCTACGTTAACGGAGAATCCGCTCTATAATCCTATAGTGCTTGCAAATCTCCACACCTCCCGGCGCAATGAATTTGAGTTCTGGTGGCATCTGGCCGATTTGGCCATTCGAAAGCCCAATTGTGACCTCCAGAACCTGCGACGCCTACTGGACGGTCAGGAGAACCGTGATTTTCTGTATAGCCTCGCTGTGCTTCGCGAATATTCGTATCATTGGAATTCTGCCAACATCGAGCAACAGTTGCCGCCGCAGTTGGCCGAGTCGGACCCGCGCTGCAGACTTGCGGTGGCGGCCAGGTTTATTCGCACTACCATGGAAGAGGGAACCACGAACGTGGTGAGGCGGTTTGCTCAGCTTGCGTATCGTGCGTACGTCCATCCGGGAGCCAGTTTGCCCGCGAACGCGGCTTGGCGCTACCAACAGGAAAGCGATTAAGTGATTGCAAGTCGGAGAAATGGTCAGCATGGTCGTCGGCTTTGGAGGTCTCTTTTGTTGGTGATAGAGTTAGGCAAACCACTCTCGCTGGGGGTTGGTGCCAAGTTAGATAGATAGCCCGCTCGAGCGCGTTTCTCTCGTCTTTCTGTGGTCTTTCTGTTCTTGTTTTTCCCTCTCATATCTATACTTGCATCGGATAGACGGCGTTTTTATAAGTTCTTTTTCAACAACAGTTTTTCTTCTGTTCACTCATTATAAAGCATATGGGAGGCTTCGTCATGGTTTTCTTGATTCCAAAATTTGGTTGCTCTTTGATCTTTTCTTCCCAACCGTTTGTATCAAGTGGCATTCTTTCCTTCTTACAGCATTATGAGAGCGACTAAAATTGGGGCGCGGCTTATATACAAATTCAACACCACTTAGTCTAACCTGCTGATACCCCCCCTGCTGACAGACGGTAGTGTGAACTTTGTCTTTGATGTGTTGCATTTAACTTGAGTTGACTTGACCAATGAGCCTTTTCCTACACATAACAACTACTCATTGCATGTTCCTCTGCTCCGGCACAATACTCCTCAACTTCCCTTCCTCAATCGCCATCTGTACGTTACTAATCGCCCACTCCTCCATCTTGGTCTCCGTTTCGACCGTCCATGTCCCCATGTGCGGCACCAGCATGACGTTTGGATTCGCCAGTAAGCCAGGGTGAATTTCCGGTTCGTTCTCATACACGTCCAAGCCAACCGATTGCACCTGTCCAGACTCAAGCGCTTTCACCAGCGCCGCCTCGTCCATCACCGCTCCGCGAGCAGTGTTGATGATGACTATCCCCGGCTTCATCATGGCGAATTCCTTGATGGAAATGATATGTCTTGTTTCGGCCTGTTTTGTTCATCGTGTTGTCCGTTAGCCTCTTTTCTTTCTTTCTTTCTTTCCTTTTCTTTCTTTCCTTTTCTTTCTTTTCTTTCCTTTCTTTTCGTATCCCACTCATCTCAGTCCTCCTTCCTAATCACCAGCAGCGGTTAGGGAAAAAGAAAAAAAGGGGGCAAAACAAAGAACTCACATTAAGCGGCAAATTCAAACTCAAAACATCACTCGTCCCCAAAAGTTCCTCCATGGTCTCAACCCACTCAACCTCCACCCTCGGAGAACCTTGCTCCCTCAACTCCCTCTCCCCCTCCCAATCCCTCCTCCGATTCAGGTATTGTACCTTCATCCCAAACGCCCCCGCCACCTTGCGCGCCAAACACTTGCCAATCCCTCCCATGCCCAAGATCCCCAGTGTCTTACCCCTAGGATCCCTTCCCAGCGGTGGCATCTTGATCGTTTTCTTTGTTGTTGTCTTTTTTCTTTCGTCAACTTCTTCTTCTTCTTCGGCTTCGGTGCCCCCTCGCCATTCATTCCGGCGAAGAGCCGTCATGCCCGCATTGAAATTCCGCATGGCCCCCAACAAAAGAAATAAAGCACAATCGGCCGTGGCCTCGTCTACAGCGCTGGGGGTGTTGGACACCCGGATCCCGCGCGCGGTGCAGGCGGGGATGGAAATGGCGTCGTAGCCGGCGCCGACGTGGCAGATGTATTTGATGGAGTCGGGGAGGGCGGAGATGAGTTCGTGGTCCAGGGGCCCAGTGAGGGTGGTGGAGTCAAAGGTCCGGTAGGCGAGGAGGCAGGAGGAGAAGGCGCCCGAGGCGCATTCGGAGAGGAAGGAGGTGCGGTCTGTGGAGGTGGGTTGGATGATGTCGGCGATTGAGGTGATGCGGGACCAGGCGGCGTGGGCACTGTGCCGCGTTGGTTAGTTTGGTTGATGTCGAAGAGCAGGAAAGTTGGGGATTGGGATGAGGGGAGAGAGGCGTAAGGGGATTCCGAGAAGAGAGGATGAAGTGAAGTGAAGTGAAGTCCGGTGCTGTGCTATTCAAGATGGAAAAAGAGTTGTTAACTTGAACTTACTGCTCAATAGTGCCCAGCAATAAGATTTTGGGCTTTTGATGCTCTTCGGAACCCATGTTGAAGGTCTTTGTTTCACACAATTCTTTTGATTTCTGGTCTGGTTCTTTCTTGTCTGATGTCGTCTTGTTTTGCTCGGTCGTCAAAATACCCGCTCAAGAGAGTTTACTTGTCGTCAAGTAAGAGTCCCAACTGAGTATCCCCGGATTTCGTTATCCGGAAATATTGGCTCTTGCTAGCTGTGCCGTGACACAACGAAACCCGGCAATGAACTACTTTGAGGACCGTTCGTCGTCGTACAACGAAGGCTTCAAACCGGAGGTATATGAAGGCGTCAGGGTGTGTAGGACCAAAAGTAGGTGGGTGACGTAGATACCGCTTGTGACGTTTTGTTCATTTGAAGATGGTGGGTGTTACGGAAGACGAAACGAAGGCTTCCGAGTAGGAGACTCAATCGCTCGTGGTGACTCAACCTGGTCTTGAAGTTCGATAACCGTCTCTTGATACGAGAAGAACATGAACGTTTTTTAAAGCAGGTTGATGAAACCCATGCACTGAATCAACACTCGCTTTATATAACATAACTAACAGCCTAGGTTCCCCGGACCAGTTTACCACTTCGAGTCAGACAAAAAGAAGTAATAATGATCGCGGGGTTATCTTCGACCGGTGAAGTGTACTATGAAACTACGTGACTGCTACCAAGAGAGGCATAGTGGGGTTGTAGGCGACATCATAACCCAATGGCTGGGCTAATAGCAAGTTCCCGTAGACACAGGTTGGAAAGAAGTTGTGTGCAGAACACATTTTTAGTAGGGAGGCACGCTGCCTGGTCCCGTTGCAGGCAACTAGTAGATAGGTATATAAAAGGCGGCAATGCAGTTTCCGTGCAATGGAACGGAACGGACGCCGAATGGTTGAACCAAACCAACTACGATATGCAAGATCACGATACGTTGGATTGGGAAGCGTCCGTTCGCGGGCGGGCGAAAAGAAGACGAAACGTGATGCTACTTGGATGATTGGAGAGCCAGACTTACTCGTGTGGCTTTTGCGGCCGTTCCGTCGTACCAATACTTCCCTGAGAGTGACAAATACAACACAAGAGACACACGAAAATCAGACATGAATCGCGTAACAGGAAGGGAAAGTGTGAGCCATAACCACATATTATTAACTTCGGTGGCTTCTTTGGTGTACCACAAAAGACATGCCCAAAAAGACTTTGTCTTTCTCTATTCCGTAGTCTAATCGTTCCCAGGCCTCGGTTGACGGGCCTTTGGGTAAAGCCTTCTTCTCTTTATCATCTTCTTGCACTTTATCAGGTGCAGCAACCAGCTACTTACGTTTCGAAAACACACCCGTCTCAAATGCCTCGAGGGTGTGTCATGGGATATCATGTGCCAAAGCCAACGCCGTACTTTTGTTGAAAATTTGTACCCGAACCATCCCTAATATTCCGTTTTGAAAACCCCTAGTGAAAGACCCCCATATTGAACCCGGTTTTGTCATGCAAATCATGCCTGTTGAAAACGATGCTTTGTGGAAATCCCAAACATGCCGCTGAGAGATGTTTTGTCCATAACCCAAAGTGTTGAAGGAGATCCTCAGTAAATTACCTCCCCTGTCCTAGCCAAATACGGCAGGAGAGGGTGGATATATGGTATTGAAAGGGAAATTAGTAGCGGTAGCTGTGACTTGGTTAGCATAGCATTCATCGGACACCAGAAAGGACAGGAAATAACATACTGGTCGCTCTTGTAGGGACCCTCAGAGGCGAGACCGAGGTACTCAGCCTGGACGTCAGAGAGCTGGGTAAGCTCGACGTTGCAGTGGTCGAGGTGGAGACGAGCAACCTCCTCGTCGAGGATCTTGGGAAGGACGTAGACCTTCTTCTCGAGCTTGCCGGACTTGCCGAACTCGACGTACTTGTTGGAGAAAGCCTCGTCGTTGGCCTTGTAAAGCATGATCTGAGCAAGGACCTGGTTGGTGAAGGAGCAGGACATGACGAAAGAGGAGTGGCCAGTGGCGCAGCCAAGGTTGACAAGACGACCCTCAGCAAGGAGGATGATGTGGCGGCCGTTCTTCATGAGGAAGCGGTCAACCTGGGGCTTGATGTTCTGGACGGAAGCAGCGTTGGCCTTGAGCCACGCGACGTCGATCTCGACATCGAAGTGACCAATGTTGCAGACAATGGCGTCGTTGGGCATGACCTCGAAGTGCTTGCCGACGAGAATGTCACGGCAGCCGGTGGTGGTGACGAAGATCTGACCAAGAGGAGCAGCCTTCTCCATGGTGGTGACCTGGTAGCCGGCCATGGCAGCCTGGAGGGCGTTGATGGGGTCGACCTCAGTGACAATGACGCGGGCACCCATGCCGGAGAGGGCCATGGCGCAGCCCTTGCCGACATCACCGAAACCGGCGACGACAGCGATCTTGCCAGCAATCATGACATCGGTGGCGCGCTTGATACCGTCGACGAGGGACTCACGGCAGCCGTAGAGGTTGTCGAACTTGGACTTGGTGACGGAGTCGTTGACGTTGATGGCGGGGACAAGGAGCTTGCCCTCCTTGAGCATGCGGTAAAGGTGGTGGACACCGGTGGTGGTCTCCTCAGAGACACCGAAGCAGTCCTCGAGCATCTCGGGGTACTTGGTGTGGACGAGGTGGGTAAGGTCACCACCGTCGTCGAGGATGAGGTTGAGCTTCTTGTTGTCCTTGAAGGCAATGAGCTGCTGCTCCAAGCACCACTGGTACTCCTCCTCGGTCTCACCCTTCCAGGCGAAGACGGGGACACCGGCAGCGGCGATGGCAGCGGCGGCGTGGTCCTGGGTGGAGAAGATGTTGCAGGAAGACCAGGTGACCTCGGCACCGAGAGCAGTGAGGGTCTCGATGAGGACGGCAGTCTGGATGGTCATGTGAAGGCAGCCAGCAATGCGGGCGCCCTTGAGGGGCTGGTCAGCGGCATACTTCTTGCGAGTAGCCATAAGACCGGGCATCTCGTTCTCAGCGAGCTCGATCTCCTTGCGGCCGAAGGCGGCGAGGGAAAGGTCGGCGACCTTGAACTTGTGGGCGGGAGCAGACATGTTGGGTGGATATGGGGGTATCTGTGGATGGAGGGTACAGGTTAGAATTGGTGATGTTTTGGAGGGAGGAGAGAGAGCAGGAGCACTCACGATGAGGGGGATGGATGGACAAAAAGTGAGAATACTCTTCCTGGCAAGGGGACAGCAATGGATTTATTTAAAAGGAAGGGACTGAGGGGATGGGGTGAAAAGTGGATATCGGATGGCACACGGCAAAAAAGAGGACACGGCCCTGGGGGAGCAGGGGAAACGAAGGGGAAATCAAAGGGCCCGGAATCCAATGACACAGCTCACAAGCAGAATGTGCAGAGCCTGACTGCCTGACTGACTGAGAGTAGCAGCCGGCGGCGGAGAGGAACAGCAGAGACGGGCACGGGCAAGCAAAAGCCAAAACTGCTTCGTGCAGGAAGTGGAGAAGGGTCGACGGGGTTTACACTAGGAAAAAAAAAATGAGAACCCCGCGGGCAAATCTGTCGAACCAGCAGCTCTGTCGGTGTGCATCAGACAGGAAGCTAGTCCCAATTCAGCTTTATTCCCCACCACAATGCGAGTGCTTTGCCCCTCCTTTGCCTGCCAGCCGTTCTCGTCGACGCGGCAAATGGCAATGTGCTTTCTGCCACCAATTCGACACCACGTTGTTCTCTTTCAGCTTGCCTTTTTAGCGCTGATGCCGTCGGCCTAAATAGTGGGGTTTTGCGGGCGGATGGGCAAGGACGGACATTCATTCACTTTGCGTTTCGGCCGAACTGGATGTTTCCAAGACATCGGGTGAGGTTGGGGAGTTCAACAATTGTTATCGGTTATCATCGTATCTGGACCCGAATGAGACCTCAACGAAGGCGGAGCGCCTGGTCAGCGTCTGCTGCAGTAAACGGGGGGAAGCGCGGACATGGCGTTGAGATGTCCACCCAGACACATTCCCGAATTGATGAGGAGACCCATTTTATAACAATTCAGTTTCGGACTTTCTCCAAACCCCTCCCATCCCGGGCCGTGGCATCTCTCTATGATTATAGGCAATTCATTACATATACGGAAAGCTGAAAAAAAGGCTGGCCCCTTAAACATAGTAGAAGATAACGGCTTATCGCTTGATTGACGGGGATCTCATGTCTGATAATTCATCCAACGCGTCCCTCGTCGCCTTTTTGGACGCATCCCGTTTGTTTTCTCTAGTGCCTCAATGCCTCCCCCCACGTCAGATCAGCAAGGCCACCACAAGATACTGGATGTGATTGTACCTCTCCCTCCCGTCCCGCTTTACGTAGGATGCATGGCCGACCCTGCCCTAGACCTTGCAAGGTAAATAACACGCCGACAACCCGGAACGCCAAAACCAAATGCGGCTGAGATATCGTGGCCACCGTCCTCTATCGTCCCATCAAAAAACACCACCACAACCCCTGGTATCCCCTTTACTCCGGGAGAAGGTTGCCGCGAACGGCGAACATCTTGGCCGTGATGTTGGCCGTAAAGGCATCCACTTGCCTTGCGTACTGGTCGACCTGGCGGGCGTTGAGCATACCCTCGAGTCTGCTGGGCTCCTGGGGGAGCTTGAACAGCCTCTGCCACTCATCCTCGGGAAGGGGCGACTGCTTAGCCGCCAAACGCGCGGCGTTCTCAGCCTTGCGCTTCGCCTGCCATTGGGTAATCTTGAACTGCTCACGAGTGAGCTGTCTCTGGTAGTACTGGTGGTTGTTGAGGTCGGTGTAGTGCGACTCGATGCTGTCGAGGAGCAGGTCGCAGGTCTTCTCGAGGAAGGGGTCGATGGAGAGGTCGAGAGACTCGAAGCCAGGGTGGGCGGGGATCTGGACGGGATCGCGGCGGATGTCGTCGAGAGAGGCGGGCATAGGGATCTCGGCGCTCTTGGGGGGAGCGGGTATTTGGTGGAGGAAGGAGGTAAGGAGGTGAGAGTTGTGGACGTTGACAGGGAGCTCGACGAAGATGTCCTTGTAGGTGAGCTTGGAGTTGCGAAGACTGTATCAGGTAAGGTCAGTGGTGTGTGCTATGCGACATGCGATATGCGACCTGCGCCCCAAACTATGGGCGACGGCAGGATCTCGGCGGTGTGCTGACCTCTCGGTGGTGAACTTGGCCTCCTTGTAGGCAGTCATGAACTCGGGGGAGAGCTTGAAGGCGCGAAGGCTGAGGGCGCCCTGGGAGCTCCTGCTGACATCGTGAACGAGGGCGACGGTCTTCTCGTTCTCCTTCTGGTAGTGGTACTGATTCTCAATGAAGCTCATGTTGATGAAGTTGCCCATGGTGGCGCTGGTGTACCAGCCGACGTTGTTAGCGTCGACGTTGACCTCTTTGAGGTGCCTGATCATCTCGTTCTGGTAGACAATGTTGGCCTTGGCGCGGGGAGCGGCGGCGGCGAGGGATGAGGCATCGCTGTGGCTGTCGCTGCTGGAGACGTCGACGGAGGGGAACTGGAACGAGTTGGTGACCTCGATAGCACCGTTGTTGTCCATACCAACAATGGAGCCGGTGGCAACGGTAGGGAAGCTGGTCGAGCAGTGCTTCACGATCTTCATGACCACCTGTGGTGCCGACGCTGGTTAACAAAGGGGGCCTTATGGCGGGCGACTTGGGGCCGGGCAGGCATGGCGGGGCTCCGGCGGCAGGAGAAGACGACGACGTAGAACAAGAGCTATCTCCAACTTACAAGGGCCTCGACCTGGACCGACTTGATCGGCGCATCCTTCTGAACTTCGGCCATAATTGCGGATTGACGGGACTCGATTCTCACGTGAAGACGCGACGGTGTGGTTGGGTATGCCGTTGCGGTGGTCAGGCTGCTGCTGGGGGAGTCGAGTTCGTCAGTCGTGGAGGACTTCAACTTTTCGCAACTGAATTCTCTCGCTTGCGTTTGTGGGCACTGCTGGCGACCAACCGGCCGCACTGGGGTGTCCTGCCGGAAACAGACTGCCAGCAAAGACCGTGTGCCGGCGGCTGGCAGGTGGCGGGCGGGCGGTCAAGAAACAAAGAAAATGGGCAATAGCCTGTGCTTTGCAAGTGTCTGGCCGTGACTATGATTTTAGCTCAGAGACGTACCGCAGAAGTACCTTCCACTTTCCAGCTGCGAGGAACAGTGCTCACTCGATCACGGTCGCACTGCTGACTGTGTGGTCTCCCACAGCCCAACCCCACTGACGAAGTTTGGTCCCACTTGATCTCGTCGACTTCCATCTCGCTGCAACGATGGAGTCTGGGGAGAGCATCCACTCTTGACTGAGGAATTTCCTCACAATGCGGAGATCGTCGAACGGCAGCAACTCAAATATTGAAATTGGCAGCTTCCCACCAATTGATGAGGGTCAAGTTCGTGAGAGCACTCGAGCTACCTTGACAACCCCTCACTCAAAGCTCCGCGAGAGATCACCACTTCCACAATGGGACTCGGACTTTTGGTGGCGGTTGCCAACTCGCCGTGATTTGACATCCGCAACAAGCAGCATCCCACGCTTCCCCGGGCCCCCCACGCCGAACCTAGTTTCGCTCCTCGTCTTCAAGGTTCACGCCATCTTTAAATATGCGACTCCGACGTCTTCACTGGACTCCTCATCATACCCCTCTTTCCTCTTAACTTTCACACCCTGCGAATATTCCCATCACGACTTCAAGTTCACTTCAGCTCTCAACTTGAAAGATAAAGCACGAGTCTATTCTACTGAGTATCGATGCCTCTAAGGATATCCCTGTGGTCATTACAATCATTATAACTCCCTTCGATGCATGGTGACCATATCGCCTTGTCACCGTCAATTTCCACCAAAACGCCAACCTCGACGCCCAAGCCGTTCCAAGTCCAAACCGTCATGCCCAGCGTCCAGCACCGGAGACAAGTAGCTCCTAAACCTCAATTCCACTCGGTGAGATCCCAGCTCTCAACATTGTCTCGGATGGTCAACCGATGGCGATCAATATGCCAGAAGGAATACAGCGACCTGGTTGCCCCGGCCGCTTTTCGGTGCGCAGGGCCAGTGCCCCCCTTCTTCGCATCTTCTGGGGATCTCCAGATGCAGGTTGCAAGGTTGCGACGCTCCTCATTTGGCGTGCCGAACCAGTACCTGAACCGTCAATGTTAGTATGCTGGTTCCGACGGAGGAATATGGCTGTTACTCACTTCAAGAACCCTCCACTTGCGGTGGCTTCAGCATGGGCAGCCTTGTCCAGCTCACCCAGGTCCGCATAGTTCTCGACCGTCGACTCGAATACTTGTGACCGGAAAGCAACAACAAAGAAGGAAGTCTCCTTCCATGTGTAGTTACGTTTTCGTGCGAGTGCGCGAACGTGTTCGATGATCTGGTCCCAGTTGAAGGTGTCGCGGTATGGCGCAGTTGCGTAGTCCTCACGGAGGCATGTCAACTGACTTAGGGCAAGTGCCAAAATCTGGTTCTCAGGGTCAAGGGTTGTGAGGTCGAGAAGGTGTTGTTGCTCGGTATAGGGTGATACTACAATGTATCGCTCCTTGTCCGGTAGCTCCGTGGGTGTGGTCTGAATGTTATTCTCAGAGACGATACTGGAAGTCTTTTCAGGATGGACCGGAGTACTATGGGTGGCCATAGCTACGCTGACGGGACCTTGGGATATGGCCATGTTGTCGAGAAAAGGAGATGGTAGGCTAAGGCAGCAGAAGGGGGACGAGATAATGCGACGGCGATCGCGTGAGGACAAGGACTTTGGGTTGCGGAGGAGAAGGGTTGACTGGAGTTTACCACATTGGACTCAACGTGGCCTATTTACTGCTTGGTCGTTCGACTCGGCTAAGGTGCGCAATGACTTCGAGATATAACGGCCGAGGTCTTGGAAGGATGGGCCCTCAGGGTGAAGTAGTCTTTGAGATTGCAAAAGAATGGACTAATTGGGATGAACAGGGACGAACGGGTACGAATTGTGGTGACATACCGCTCTCAAATCGCGAGTTCATATGGATGACATACTCGAAGGATGCGGGAAACCGCGCCTGCCAGTTATTGCGACAATGTGCATGCACAATTGCTGATCGCGCAATCGGTCACAAGGGTGGTGCCATATCAAAGACCCCAAGCCGACCCAGGCGGATCCTTGGTCATCAAAGCCAAGAAAACTCGGAGTGAAACAAATTGCACATCACTTTCGGGTACTGCTGTTTGGAGGGTCTGGAAGGGACGATGGAATTGTACGGGAAGGGTAGGTGTCTTTTCTCATTTTCCAGTTTGACACTTCACGACTGACTTGGTCCGAATTGGGTTTTTTTTTTTTTTTTTTTGTGATGATGGGAATCGTAATTGCGGATCTGACAGCAGCGCATTCGTCAACAAGGGTCAGGTACACAAATCCAAAACGTGGCGGTCCCGCTGTGATTTTCGGCTTGTTCTTCATCTGAGCTCTCAATGAAAGCCTTTGTAGTGCCGATTCGAGTCCAAACTCAAGCCAAAGGCCGCCAGTCAATATGACAGGACCTTCCATGTCACTCATCGCAATGCGCAAGTGGTCGATAGAATCTGGATCCCTCTAAAACACAATCAGTCGACAAGGGCGATTTTCGAGTCATGAAAACCTCCGACAGCGGCTTGAAACCTTAATTCTGCCCATCAGATATCAATAAAGCCTTGTTCATCTCTGCAGCGCTGCGCTGCGCGGCTAACGGCCATTTCGGAACTGGGACCGGCTAGGTATAGACATCAGATGAGACGAGACTGAGCCGGGATGATCGATACTGGAGAAGTCGAGCCTTGTGGGGCAAATCTTCCAGCGTTAACCCCCCTCTTGCTCAAGGTATTTGGAACCATACAAGGCGCAATCACACGTGGATAACGATCTCGGACACTGCATCTGGAGCATCTATCATTCCTTTTTCAACCACACCTTGGCGACCTCATATGACCCGAGATAAAGCCCGCTGCCGAAGGCCGCCCACGCCGTGCGCAGCGCGCCGCCCCGAAACAACCCTCGGATCCCTCGCTCCCGCACAATCTCCTTTGCGACCTGGAACCCGCTCGTACTCTTGCTGCTCTTGTGCTGGCGACCTTTCTCGAGCACTTCCCCAGACGACTCCGGCTGTTGTTTCCCGCCCGCCGCAAGCATCATCCGCGTCTTGACGACATCCGTAGGCGTCGTCACAAACGCTGCCAGCGACCCTGACACGGCGGCCGAGAGTCCGGTGACGAATCCCGTTTCGACCAGACTTCTTTCTTGTTCAGACCCCTTCCCTCGGTTCCGATCCCGAACCTCCCATATCCTTCTTCGAACCCTTTCAAACAAGGGAAACTGCAACGCCGTAAACGGCAGATTTCTCGCTACCAGCGCTGTGTAGCCCGAGAACAGTCGTCTCCATACGCCGTCTGGGCTGTGGCGGAGCATGTTGAGGGCTTCAAGGGAGGTGGATTTGGGTTTCCCGTCGCTAGTAGTGGACCGTTGAAGGACTTGTGCGTTTTGCTTGATTACTTCGGCGGGCGTGAGGACGAGGCAGGAGGCTAATTCGGCTCCCGCAGAGGCGAGGGAGTGGGTGAAGGGTGTCGGGATGGATGTGGGGAGGGTCTTGGAGAGAAAGGATTTGGAGGATTCGTAGGTATAGAAGAAGACGCCGGCTGTGTAGAGGAGCAGGAGGAGAAGGAGGAGGTAAGTAAGTAAGTAAGTAAGTAAGGGGGATCTTAAGTCCACAGGTTCTTTGAAGGTAGGTTGATCGGGATGACCCCGACCGCCACAGCATTCGAAGCGATGTGAGGAGTATCCTGTCTGAATGAGAATGAAAGGTAAGAGAAAACTCACCAGCAGGTAAAGTAGCAAAGATCACACTGCCGATTCCCTGGTATAACCCTCTGAACAAAGCTGCCTTGGGAGGCTGGATTCCCAGTGTCCCCTTAATCGCAGAGTGTTGTTTCTGAGAAGCGTAGACATCTTGGTAATCTTGACTTTGGATACGGGTCTTGATTGTGTCGAGGGGGTAGACGAGGAGGTCGACGGTGAAGGCTGCTATCGAGCCGGCCTGGTTGGTTGTATGAAGTGAGTGAGACTGTGTGTAAACTGGAGATGGGTGAAAGAGAGGGTAGACACTTACGATTAACACTTGATGCGCGGCACTGTCGCCCATATCTGCTTGAATGGTCCACTCAGCCTTCCTAAATATGAGGTGAGGTGAGGTGAGGTGAGGTGAGGTGAGGTGAGGTGAGGTAAGGCAGCAAGGTAAGTTGGAAGGAGAACCACAGAAGTATATTCGAAAGGTACGAATGTGGCTGCGGCTCTGTATAACAAATGGAGAGACACACGCACGTGCAAGATTAGTATGAAATGAGATGAAAGAGACCAACCGTGCATGTAATTTAGGCCCGTCCCGAACTCTGTATTGATGGGATCAAAATCCGTCATACATACATACATACACTAGATCGATGCAAAAAAAGGGACCATGGCGATGGGATCGTCAATCGGTTCGATGACATCATCATCTGCCTTGAGCCGTTTTGGAGTCGAGACTGCCTGCGCTGAGTCAGCCGAAAGGGGAAAGCGCTTGTTTCGTGTAAGTGTTAGTGGGAGAAAAAGAGAATGGCAGTTAACGCTATATAATTGGACAAGATAAGTGGTAAATCAATCATTCTCACATGATTTTGAGTTGCCAAAGGTTGAATTTGAGCACTGATCTAGACTTTGTCATGTCCTGACTCTGCTTCCGAGCTATTGCGACGGAGGGAGCTCTAACACCCAGGTTCTTGTTCTTGGGGTACACGATGTACATTGGTCGTCAGTCTTAGGCCTTCACAAGCAGCACCACGACGAAAAAGAAACGAGCATAAAGAACCAACAAAAGACAGCTACCAACTCCAAATTTAGAGGGCAAAGTATTACTAAGTAGTAAGTTAAATATCTACCAAGAAGTACAGCGAGTATTTGCTACCTACCTATGTATAGCGACTACCAATGGTTTGATATCTGCAAAATGCATTATGTAGTATATAGCAGAGCACCCAGATCACCTCACACATAGGTCTAACCTCGGATTATATACGGAGCGCTAAAATTGCGCTAAGACATTTACCCTACACCGTAAGTAGAACTGAGCCGATACCGGATTCCTTAATAATTATATTAAATTTATCCTCTTATTATTATTGAGTATATTGTATAGTGAGAACTTGTCCCGGACTGATCCTAGACCGATCCTTAAAATTGTAAGTATTATACTAGGCTATAAAATAAGATTGTAACTTGCTATACTAGGCCGTAATATGTGAACGTGTCCCGGACCGGCTTGGGATTAGTTACGGACTAGTCCTATACAAATTCTTAATTTAACTTTATTAAAGTATTAAAAAAAAGAAGTCTATTTACGTTAGCTATATAAGTAGCAAATTCAATACATCTTTCCTATTATAGAAGTATTTATAAATTAATATATAATTTTAATATATCTTTTTGTAACCTATATATTAATTATTAACTCTTCTAAATAATTTTGCTAAAAGAATTTGAATAATATTAAATATAAGACAATAATTAATTATAGGAATAATTTAGAGAGTATAAATATTAAAATATTATTTATATAATATATATAATAAATAGATTCAGAAATAAAAATATAAATTTAAACTATATAATATAATATAATATAAGTAAGTATATTAGAGTCTTGTTTTTGGTAATGTACTATATATATTTAATAATATAAATTAATATATATAGTTAGATTATTATTAGGAAAAATTCAAATAATTTAAATTAGAAGTTAATATAATAATTATTTATTTTACTAAAGATTCAAATTAGTAGATTAATAAGAATATTAAAATAAATACTTAAATTATATTCAAATTTGGAATATCGATAAATAACTAATAAAAAATTATCTTTATTATATTTATAAGAGTAATATATAAGTTTTAATATATTATATACACTTATATTTATTAAATATATATAATTAGATAAATATTATTAAATAATCAACTTTTTATTAATTATTAAATACTACTCAATCGAATACTAATATATATTAATTATAATACTAAATTTTATAATAAATATATTAGAGATATAATTAAGAAGTAATATTATAGTTAATGTACAGTAAGTAAATATAATTATTACTAGTAACTAAAATCGAAATTACGGATTTGTTTAGAACCGGCTCAATATTTTAAATATTATAATATTAAATTTCTTATATTTATAAATAGTAAGAATAAATATTAAATAAATGAATTTAATATAAATAATACTAAAAGTTTAAATAAAATAATTATAATAGAATATTAAATCTTTATATTATAAATTTCAAAGGAAAGTCCAGTATTTATATAATATAAATACTAATTTTATTATAAAAACTTTATTTAAAAAACTAATTTGTTTTCAGAATATTAAAAATATTAACTGTTATAGGGTATTCTTAGTAGATACCTAGATGCTCTGTCTTGTTATAGCAGCTGCTCACTAGAGCGTATAGTTTATTATATAAGAGTGTTCGTCCTGTTAACCTCTACTAAGGTTAACGGATCATTAATCAATATTATACCAACCTAACGTCTATTTTGCTCACACTCAGTAAAGTTGTATACGAGGTCCTAGGTTGAGGCTTGTGACAACTCTTGTCTTTAACTTTCTTTAATAAGACTGTCGTTAATTATTACGTACTATTGCTCTGTGTAGCAACCAGTTGCTTACTTTATTATTCTCTATTATTATCACTTGTAAAGTACATCTTTGCGTAATATTAATTAAGTAAAATAGGGTTAAGTAGATTATAAATAGAAAAAAGAATAAAAAACAAATTAAGTTCTAATATAAGAAATGAAATTTATTTAAATAAAACATCAACTATTATTATAAATCAGTTTATGATTAGTGTAAAATTAAAACTATTATAGTATTAAAGATATAATATATAAGAAAATAAGAATTGATTTTAAATAAATTGAATTTATTTACAATTAAGTTAAATTTTCTATATAAAGGCAGTATTATACTATGAACTTTTTCTTTAGGAAAAATTTAAAAGAAAACTTTATTAGAATATTAAAGATATTAATAAGTTTAAATAGAGAGACTTAAATTAATATTTTATAAGAAATTTAGTAAATAATATAAAGTTTACCTTTATTTAATAAAGTCTAAACTAAAAATAAATATAATTGGAAAGTGGATATATTTAGGACCAATCCAAAATTATAGATATTTTTATATTAATTTTCAATATTTAAAAGTAGCATAAAAGATAGTTTATACATTAAATTATTGTATAACTATCCAGAATTATTAATAAATGTATTATAGTAAATTATTTATTTTAGAATTGATATATAATGTAAAAAAACAGTTTTAGTTAGATTATAAAATATAATATTTAATAAAATAAAATGAATTTTATATAATTTAAAAAATTAATAGTAGTATAAAAAGAAAATCTTATATAGTAAATAAAAATTTCAAAATATATATAGATATTAGACAAAATATTAATATTAAATAATTATAAATAAATAAATTTAATTTACTATAGTAAATATATACTTAAAAGTTAATATAAAAAATATTAATAAATAAATTTATATATATTGAAGAAGGTTTGAATATATTAAAATATTTTTAAAATTAATATTTGATATTCTATAAATATATATTTATTTAGGTAATATAAAATAGTCGAATATTATAGAGAAGATATATAGAACGTATAATAAATATAATATATTGAAATAAGTAATAAGCTCAATTAAGTATCTCTAAATTAATCCTTAATAAATTCTTTATTAATATTTTAATTCTTCGTAGAATAAATTTAAAAGAAAATTTTTATTATTATTTATTACTACACTTATACACTTTATTAAAATTTAAATAATTTACTACATAATATATAATGTAATTTAAATTATTTTTACTACTTTTATTTATATAATCTATTTTTTTTACCACTTTTGGGCAAAATTTACTATATATAAATCTCTATTTCTAATTTTAAATTTCCTCCTTCTTTCTTCTTTCAACTAACCTCAAATCCATTAATAGTACGTATAAAACATTTATTAGATTTTTCTCAATTCTTTTTTGAAAAAATTTAAAATTTTTTCGATTTTTTTTTAAATTTTTTATTTATACTAATTCTTAATTATAAGACTAATTCTTAATTAATTTTCGACTAATATATAACATATCCCGAACCGATCTATAAAGTAGTTAATAACTATTTTAAAGAATAGTCCTATTTAGATTATAAGGCTTTAGAAAAGCACTTAGCTAGTATACTACCCTTTCCGTTTAATAAAGTAAATTTAATTTTATAATAATTTATAATTTATTTAGGACTAATCTTTAACCTATTTAAAATAGCGAAGTCTAATTTACGGCCAGCGAAGTCTTTTACTACTTTACTAAGCCTAATAGTATTATATATTCTAATAAAGTACGTAGGATTAATTTCTAATTAATTTTAAATTCGTCCCAAATTAATATACTACTAATCCAGTTTTATTTTTAATATAATTAGGAAAATACTTTAAATTTACGCAAGTATATTATAAAATATATAGTAGTTGTAAGTATTAAAGTAGTTATCAAGGTTAATAGTATTAGCGGCCTTAATTTAGAGGAGAATAAGAGTTTGAAGGGTATATAATTAATTATAAATTAATTTTTAATTAGTTTGAGATTAATTCCCTATAGCATTCTATTATAATCTTATAGTAAAAATCCTTTATATAAACGAAGACAAGTCCGAAATTAATCCTAAATCGGTCTTATCCCCCCCTTCCTATCCGAAGAAGGGTAAAAAGTTTATAAAGAAGTATTTGGCTATTATTAAGGATAATAATAAAGAGGAAGAGAAAGAGGAAAATAAAAAGGAGGATACGGTACTTCCTTCTTTTAAGAAGGTTAAATTCTTTTTATTAAATATACTTTATATTAATAAATATATCGTAAATTTCAAATTAATTTAGAATTAATTTTTAATTATTCCTAGATTTATTATTAATTAATTTCGTTTAGCATTCCTATATATAAATAAAGAGGGCTTTTATTAAAGTTGAATTTAATAAACCTTTAAATAATAAAATAAAAGTTTAAATATACGCTAGCTATACGTATATAAGTTCCGAGAAGTATAAA